AAAAAAAAAAAATAACACATAATTTCCTTGCTTAAAGAGCTTATTTATGTTGTATTTAACAAAAACAAATATTTTTCAAATCAGTCCCTATTTATCCCAATTTGTGTAAATTGGAAATAAAAAAAGCCTATGTTTTAGGCCCGACACTGCAAGCCCACAAAGCAAAGATTTCAGACACAAAACAGAAGGCGTTACACCTGAAGCAGTGTCTCAGTAATGCCAGACCGCTGTATTTTTTCAACTCGTAAAATTTTCCAGGCTCCAGAATATCTACATCATGTCCCGTGTGTTAATTGCATGATTTGTGTTGATTTTATCTTCTCCAATATCTCGATTTGAAAGCAAGGTATAATTGAACTTGATTGCCTTGTGTTTCCAATTTTTTTGGGGCAAATTTGATAGCTTTTATGGTAAACTCTAATTCTATCGTTCTGTGTTTTTATTAGTAGCTTAGATGATATGGGCTAGATTTTCCATCTTCTCATTTATAATATTTCTAAAATTTTGCCCTTTGTAAAAATCAATGATCTATCCGCCTTATGTTTGTAGAGTGATTCTGTTTATGCAAGATTTTCAAAATCCTTGTCATTTCTTACTTTATTTATTTGTTTGCTCTAGGGAAAGAACAAACAAATGCAATGACATCAAAGACGAGAAGAGGAAATAATCTTCCAAGTGAGATAGGAGATCGATTCAGTTGTTTATCAGACGAGATAATCAGTCATATTCTGTCCTTTCTTCCAGTAAAATCTGCTGTCCGAACAAGCATTCTGTCCAAGAGGTGGCAAAACCTCTGGAATTTTACAACAAATCTTGAATTTGAGGAGAACACTTTGATTGCAACTAGTTCTGTTTATGATGTAGAACATGTACTGAGTTGTTGCACATCACCACATATCAATAAGTTCTCTCTCACAGTAAATTGTTATGTTCATGATGAACGTCTTGAGTCATGGATAAATTACGTAATTAAGCGCAATGTACGTGAGCTCAGACTCGAGGGACCAGTTTTTCCACATTGTATTTTCACATGCAAGACCCTTACAGTTCTGGAACTCGAGTCTGGTGTACTATTTGATGATGAGGACATTCCTACTTGTTCTGATATTGATTCTGATTCCGATACTGATTCTGATGTACTATTTGATAACAAGGACATCCGGATTCCTACTTCTTTTGATCTCCCAAATCTGAAAACCTTCCGCTCATGTCTTCTCTATTATTCATGTGATTTCATGGAGAAGCTTCTCTCTAGTAGCCCCCTACTAGAGGATTTAACTATAGAGGGAACTGTAACAAGTGATTTTATATTTGATCTTTCATGTCCACTTTTGAAAAGATTGAAGATAGTGTTACGAGGACGAAAGGAACGTAAGGATGTGCAATGTAAAATTGTAATAAATGCTCCAAACCTTGAGTATCTAGAGCTTGTGGATATCTCAACAGTGGAATATGATGTGGAGAATTTGACATCAATAGCTGAAGTAAAAATTGATACAAGATGGGAAGTTTTTGTTAATAGATCAATACTTTGGCTTTTCAGGGCAATCGACACCTTGAAATCTTTATCATTGCACGACATTTTTATATCCGTAAGTTTCTTTGCATTTCCTATATATATTTGGCATCTGCTCTACCATGCAGTATCTAATCAGCAAACAATATCCTGCATTACATTGTATGCTTGTTCTCATTTTTTTCTTTAAAAAAAA